GTTTATGAGAAAACTGTCATGGCTAGCTTTATTAATATCAATAACACTTACATCTTCCACTAAAAACCTAGCAATAAAATCAAGGGGCGAATCAAACCATAAGGAAGGAGAATTATCACGCCCTTCCTGAGCTAGCACATGTGCTACCATATTAGACTCTCCATTACAATGTTCAATAAGAACCTTCCCCAAGTGCTTTAAAGCCCTTCAACAATTATAAAGAATCAGAGCAACCACCATCAAATGTCCACGACTTAAGTTAAGTGCTTCCCCAACAACTATGTTATCCATCTTTATAATTATGTTGTTGCACCGCATACATTGTGTAAGCTTCAACACTTCCAATAATGTTGATGGTTCCATCAAGACAACATGCACAACATGTTCTACTTTTGTTGTCGAGGCTCCAATCAACATACCTCCATGACCTCGGACAACGTACTACACCACAATAGCCTAAGTGATCCTCTTCTGAGAATGAGGCATTCAAAGCATGTTGTCCCGCCAAGGGTTTATTCTAGCGATTCAGACTAGTAGTAGACGCTGGTTTCCTAGCCACACGATCGAAGTTTAATGCAATGACTTGAATTGCATGAGCAGTAGGCAAAGGAGACTGCACACCCTCCTCTTTAGTGACTAGCCTACACTGCCACCATACGTACCAACATGTAACAACAAAACACTCTGCAAATTCAATCGACTCCATATAAGTGTACTGATGGGCAACATCACATAGCATAAACTCAAGCACATGTACCCATATCTACTAGCACACATGTACTACCCAAGAATGTAGCCGGGTTTTTATGCTCAATTTTTCCATTATCTCCTGAGAGCGGCTAGCTAGAACTAAGTAGTGCCGTAAATGATTGCTATAAGTATCAAGCGAATTCAAGAATACTGATTAGTTTCTCTTGCAACAGTTGAATGAAGTCGGAGCGCAGCCATAATAGAATTAGGTTATATGTAGGTGCAACCTCGACGCCTTTAGTTGTGAATCCACTGTGATGTCTCCTTTCCTTTCGACGCAAGTCTGACAGAAAATCATGGAACGGAGTTTTGGAGATAACCAAAAGATGATAGTAACAACTCAGCGCTATCAAAAGGTTCAACGTCATAATATGCTAAATCTCATTAGCTAATGTAGTGGATTTAAAATCAATTCTTGCATTCCCATTTCAAATTAGACTTGACCAACCATTTCAAGTTAATCTTGAAGAAGATGGTACTTGTTCCTCTAATTTCATATAAATAAATAAATTATCCGACTCTCGGAGGACTTCAAATTATAAAGTAAGCACTAGTAAGTTGGTATACTAAGTAGTACCGCATGTAGGTAGTAGTAATTAAGTAAGGCAAAAATAGTTCCTTCAATGAACTACATTGCTAGTGTCAATCTACTGTAGTAAGGTGATGCAAACATTGGCAAAGTAATATTGTCTACTTTGCAACTTTGGAAAGTGGAAACTAAAGTTGGCCCGACTTCTATGATTCATCACCTTACGGTATGGTATATAGCCTTCCTTAAAAGAGGCAAGGTCCTCACACATTAAATTTCGTTTTGAAGGATATCCTATTTGACTTTTATACCATACTTGGGCATCTTATATGATTTCATCTTATCTAAGAGCTCTCCAAACTTTCTCTTGCTCACTCACATTTAAAAAAAGCATGATTAATATATTCTGCTTCCACTTTGCACACTTGGTAGTGGTCCTCAGTAATACATATATGATAGTTTGCATGGATGGCTATGCATAGAATAACATTATGAAAACAACACCATAAGAAAATTTTAGCTTTACCTGGCAGTTTTAGGCTCCATAATATTTTTTCATATCGGATGAGGAGATGACCCGCCATGACCAACAAAATGTGTACTACTATTCAAATAACAGTCTCCCCCTTGCCTATAATAGCCTGATCTGACGGTGAATACACCGTTTTAGTTAGGTGCCATGCAACATAGTCCCCAGTCTCATGCTCATGGATGGGAAGTTGAAGCATGCGCTCCGCATCAACATGCCAAAAAAATCTCCCGGTTCAATTTCTCATCCCACTCTCCAGACACTAACACAAGCCCTACAACTTTTATCAAAACCCTGTTATCGTGAACTGTCGTAATTTTTCTAGAAGAGCTATTAGGGATCCTGTAGTCATCCCGTATGTTTATATTCGATCCATTTCCCACTCGCCAAACATATACCTTCTTTTTAAAGTATGTATTCATGCCCAGATACTCTTCCCACACATACGGCGAACCCTTCTTCAATTCACAGCTTAGTATGTCATCTAAAGGATACTATTTTGATCGCAACACTCTAGCACATAAAGATTCATAGTTATCAATCAACCGCCAACACTATATTTAGCTAACATCGCCAATTGAAACTATGAATACCACAGAATCCCACGCCACCTCTAACTTTGGAACACATAACCTCCTCTTGAGGGATCAAGCTACCCTGCCACCATATGTACTAGCAACAAAACTCTTGAAATTCAATATGTTTCGTATAAATGTACTGATGCGCAACATCACATAGCAGACAATGAAGCACATGTGCCCCATATCCATCAACACGCATAGCATCTTCTATGATTTCATGTATCCAAGATCTCTCCAAACTTCTCTTGCTCGCACAAATTTGAACAATGCCTGACCAATACATTCTGCTCCCACTTTGCACACTGAACACTGGCCAGTAGTAGATATATTGCTGTTTGCAAGGGTGCACATGCATGGGATAAGACTATGCAAACAATGCCATAAGAAAAATTTAACTTTACCTCACAATTTTAGGCTCCACAACATTTTCCATACCAGATGAGGCGATGATCCGCTATGCCCAACAATTTTTGTGATGCTATTCGTATAACAGTCTTCCCATTGCTTATAGTAGGATGATCCAACGGTGAATACACCATTTTTAGTTAAGTGCCATGCAACATACTACCCATGTCCGGGTTTATTACTCCCATTTGAATTTAAAAATAATATCATTGGAAACTTATTTCAAATACAAATCTACCTATATAATTTTTATGGTATATAACTTATATTTTGCTAATCAAATCTAAGGTCAAAATTCATCACAAAATATGAAGGGGACTAATAAACCCAGACGAGGGTAGTAGTCCTCACTCTTCTATTGATGAATGGAAATTTGGAGCATGCACTCCACACTAATATGGCAAAAATTCTCCTAGATCAAGTTCTCATCCCACTCACCACAAATATTGGTAACTCCTTCAATTGTGTGCTCTGTAATTCTGGAACTGAGGGTACCATTGATCATCTTAATTTTTCTTGCCTTTTCAGTGTTGGGGGTTGGGCCAACGTTGGCACTCATTGGAATCCGAGTCTATTTCGGATTGAGGCTATCCAATCTGCCAAGCTGGTTTTCACTGGAGAGCTCTTCTTTGATAATATTGGTATTGTTGCCAATATTTGGAAGGTATATTCATGCACATAAATCCAACAACTAGAGCTTGGCAGGAAAGGATTAAAGCTGGTCTTGTTTGGCTTAAATATAGAGTTGATCCCCATCTTTGGGAATATATCACCCTGCTTGCTTCATCTTTGTGAGAGTCCCTCTCCATCTTGGCCCCCTGACCTGTTGTAGTAGTTACTTTTGCTCTTATATTGTTGTCTTTAATTTCTTCTTATCCTTGAGGGCTCCCCTCTTGGATTGTACAAATGTAAAGAAAACTCTTTTGTTTAATGTAACACAATAGAAATCTTTCTTACTATTTCTAGCTTAAAAAAAACCAACACACACAGGGTCCATAAGTTCATTCACTTTTGTGAAAACTCGGTTACCTTTATATGTCACAATTTTTCTAGAAGAGCTATTAGGGATCCAACAGTCATCCCATATGTTTATTTCAATCCATTTTTCACTCGTCAAATACACTCTTTTTTCAAGATTTGAATTCCGTCCCAGATAATCTACCACACATATGAGTTACGACGTACCTCTCTTCAATTCACAACTTACTATGTCGGGTGAAGAACAATATTTTGACCGCAACACTCTACTAGCACATAAAGATCCATTGTTTGTTATCAACAAGCCTCCAACGCTGTTTAACAAATATCGCCAAATTGAAATCATAAATACTATCACCGAATCTCACACAACCTCTACCTGTTGGAACACAAATCTTGCCGTTCATTCGAGCAAAAAGGGCAGAGAAACCTTGAGGAGCTGAGGCACAAAGCTTGACTCGGATGTGACGATATGACATGACCCTCCCCGCGGCACGTGCGGTTGACCCACGAAAGTACTGCCCCGCTCTCCATCCAACGCCATACCCACCCACCTCGCTTACATCGGAGCCCACGCCCCGAGCCCAACACCGTCGCCCCACCGGTCAGTTATATAAACCAGCCCCTCAGGGCAGCGCGGCGGGTAGGGTTAGCATTTGCGCGTGGGCGCCTCCAAAGAACCACTTGTAGTTCTTCTCCGCAGCCAAAATCAATGATTTGGGGAAACACCGGGAGCGGCCGCCGCAAAACAGCACCCGTTCTTCCCACCGTCTAATCCCCCAATTCTTCCTCGCAGCAAGCTGCTCGATCTCGCCGATTCCAGGTTAGTGTCCCCGCGCATCGCCCCCCTAATTCGTTCCATTTCGCCTCGAATTGTTTACCCCGCTCGTTTCGTTCTGAAATTCGCGAAATTCGAGCTCGTTCGATCACGATTAGGGATTCCCCATTTGGGCTTCCGCGCAGATTCGCCGCGCCCGTCTGATTCCCGGATCGGGAAGCAATCCTCGAGCGAGGTGGCCTGAATTTCTTTTAACTTCGTTGTCTGATTTCGCAGGCGGGCTCTTCCGACCTCGTGTGATTATTGCCGTTTGTCGAGGGTTAGCCGGCGATTAGCGAAGGCGCTGGGTGTTCGTCGGTCGTCTAGGGTTTGCTCTCCGTGAAGCTGTTTGATTGGGTTTCGGGGGTCGCCTGCATTTCTGTTGATTGGGTTTGGAGGTGGTGAGCCAAGATGCAGACTCGTCAGAAATTCGCTCGTGTGGACACCCAGGAGCTGAAATCCCGGATCGCCAAGAAGCTGGGCCATCAGCGGGCCGAGCACTACTTCAACAGCCTCAAGAAATTCCTGAGCTTTAAGCTCAACAAGGATGAGTTTGACAAGATTTGCTTGAGTGTGTTGGGCAAGGAAAATATCAAGCTTCATAATTTCCTCATTCGGTCAATCCTCAGCAATGCTTCCTTGTCCCTTGGACCGCCTAGTAAGCAGACGGTGACCGGTAACTCACAGACTAGCATGGTGTCCAATGGGCCACTGGGCAATGGCGCTCTGCCGGCGAAGATGGGGCGGTCTATCACTAGCAGGGATAGGAAGTTCGCTGATAGGCCAAGCCCCCTTGGTCCCCATGGGAAGGCGCCTCATGGTCATGGAGGCGAAGTGAGCAACTCCTGCGACATACCGAGATCTAGGGAGCAACAGAGTACCCTGGAGTTTGTTTCATCAGGGAGCAAGGTTCTGTTGGAAGTTGTCTCTGTAGAAGATGGGGAGGAGGTTGAGCAAGTGCGCAGTAGCCCAGCGTGTGTTCAAAGTCGGAGCCCCATCAGAGCTCCGTTGGGGATTCCGTTGGGGATTCCAAAGGCTCACACTCCTCAGCCTTCTACCTCTTACAGTTATGAAACATGCTCTAATAATGAGGAGTTGCCAGATACTCGGTCATTGTGGAATGTACTTCAGCACAGATTGCAAGCACAAGGCCTGAATGTATCCATGGAGTTTGCTCATGTACTGAATTCTGGGTTGAACTCACATTTAACTCGCTTGCTCAAGTCTTCTTTGGATGTCGCTAAAGCAAGGGGAAATGGAACAAGGATACCTCAAGCAAATGGAAGAGCAGGTCCTTCATGGAATGGTGGACAGAACCATGGCTTTCCTCCAGAATCAGGCCAGTTCTACCAAGCTTCGTTACAAGATGTTAAGGTAGCAGTGGAGTCCAACCGTCAGTTATTGAGTTGTGACCATTCCAAGCAGCATGAGAAGCTTAGCTTTCGTCTTATGGACCAGTGAAAGTCACAAATGCAATTTTGTTGTCTGTTAGCAAATACTATCTTGACCGTATACCCTGTCTGTTATGTTTCTGCCGGCCCTGCCGCGAAACTACAGTTAGATTAAGCTGAGATGAATGAACTTGGAATAGTAGGATCAAGTTATACATCCATGATTCTTGGACTTTGTATGTGTAAGTGAACTTTAATAACAAGTGCCTTCGCACACATAGAAAAGATCTGTCATTGTGTCTTTGCTTCATTTAAATGTTAATGTTAGCTTGTACTGGCTGAAACAAGTAGCTAATGCATCAATGACTGTTTGCAATATTGTGTTATGTTCCTGAACCTGAACTTTCCTGTTGCCTGCATTCAGATTTGAAATATCGAATGAGTGGTTTAGCCTGGTAACCAAATGCCATGTGAAAATGCTATTAGACTAGGGTTGTTCTCCATGCTTGCGTGCTACAGGATATATATATCAGTTTGACTGTTCTGAGCCTTAATTTGCGTGCTAATAAGGATACCTTGCTACTTGTTGTATGATTGTATCCCAATGTCTTCAGCAAGAGGTGTAGTTCGAACATTTTAAGCTTGAACTCGACAAACTTGTTACCTAGAGCGAGCGAAAATCCTGTCTTTAAGCTCGTAAGTTATTAGCTCCTTAAACTCACCATGCTTGTTAAGAAATTTGTAAGCGATATGGAACAAAAGAAGGGACAGCAGCAAGACAATACAAATATAATTATGCGCAAATATATTTGGTAGACATTCATTCATGTTTCAACCAACCCTTTAACACGGGAGTTCAAACATCAAAGTTCACACAGCAAACATCCAACATCTGATATAGTCATCTCAAAACGAAAAATCTGTCTGATATGGTGTATGATGCAATGCTGGGCTGGACTTAGATTGGATTGGAATTAATGTGTTGTGGGCTAGCCTGTGGACTGTAGCAGAAACTCTCGAAGCTTATCGAGTCCCAAGGAGTAACTCGTTAGCTCGCTTGTTAGTCACACTTAACGAGGAAAATCTGGAGCTCGCGAGTTCAAGTTAAATGGGCTGAGCTCTTCACAGCTCGACTAGCTGACAAGTTTTGAGTTTTAATTCCAGGCATAGCTAGGTGTGGTGTTAATATCTCACCATGATGGTTTCCAGAGAGAGGAAAACTAGCCAGATGGTTTCCACAGAGATCAAAAGAGCACTTTCGCTTTGCATGCTCATTTTGACGCTTCTCATCCATTTTCAACATTTGTCACTAAGGTACACATATGTGGAAGTTCAGTGACTCCCCGATGCAATTTATTAAATGAGTTATGGGGAAACATGTTACTCATATCTTCTGCTCCAGGTTAGCTGCTTTCCATTATTTTTTGTTTTTTCATTTATGCTCAAACTACTTTTGCTTTGTCTAGGGTACATGAACTACTTTGTTGATTGATCTATAACAATACCATTGATACTAGATTACCTTGTTCATCAGTTGTTTCACCCCTGCATCATCTCAACACGAAAAGGCTATACGAGTGAGTTATATAAATTATGCAATTTTAAAACAAAATATCAACGCTTTTTGTTGATGCTATGACCTTAATGATTGGGCCCGACATCCATAACAAAAACCTTTGTCATGCCTTCACAGGTTGGACCCGGCAACATCGGAGGGCGTAGCTCCTCCTTGAAGGCCTTGCCGTAAAAGAAAACAAAGGAAATGGCGACTTACCTGTATGTTTCTTTTCTCATATTTGTCATGGTTATGCCATTATTTTCTACATCATGTACTCTGCTTGTAAGTAGATGCGTTGGTCTCATTGTGTTGTACCTTTCTCAATATAACTAGCATGGTGGCGGCAGAAGTACTTCGTATTTATTATTATATTTGTGCATGTTCTTTTCTTTCCATAACCCTCTCGTTGCAAATTACACGTGTTTTAGACATGGATACATCCCTAAAAGGTTAGCTGCTTTACTGTAGCTCTTTTTTTTACCAATTATGCTCAAACTGATTTTCCTTTTTTAGGGTACACGAACTACTTTTGGTGATTAATCTAAAAAACTACTTTACTGTTGTTGTTCTTTGACTGTTTCAACAGAATATATGAGTGAGTCCTACAAATCATACAAAAGAAAATATCAAGCCTTTCTGCTGATTCTCTGGTCTTAATTGGTTTGATCCGGCATCCAGAATGAAAATTAATGTCTTGACCTTCACGGATTGTAATCGACAATGTCGGAGCATTAGCATATCTCCTTCAAGACCTTGCCCCAAACGACCTAGTCATAGGTGTTTTTTGTTGTATATTTGTCATGTTTCTTTCATTGTTGTTGTCTATCTCGTAGACCATTCTTGTATGTAGACATTTTGGTCTCATTCGCTGTATCACTTTTAATAGAACTAGCATGGTGGCACTCGTATTGGGGCATCATCTTTAATGTCTCTATAAAGATAATATATAAATTAATGACCAACAAACTCTCAAACCTTCCATTCTAGTAATCAACACTTACTTTTTACTCCTCCTTCGATACTCATGTCGGTGCCTAATAAGTCATATTTTCATATCACTCCTAAGAAACTATGTACATTTACTTATATAGTAATTGTCCATAAAGCATAAGATGGTAAGTGAAGCTATACTTTTTTTATTGGGTTCCAATGGTGTATCTATCCATCGCATTTGATCAGTATTCCTTTGTGCTATGCATTAGAGTAGTATCAGTGTATATACTATATAGTGATGACTAAGATATTTAATGTGTAACATTTTGTTTATAGTTGACTAAGAGCAACTCTAGCAGAGTTGCCACATTGGCAGCCACCATAACACGCCCTCCGTAATATTATGGAGGCCGCCGAGGCATAGCGCAGACTTAGAGTGCCCCACCACGTCGATGGAGAATGATATGCACGGGGTACATGCATATGTGATGAATCAGTTCATCCTCCTACACAACCTTCAGCATGCCACAACGATCTCACTCCTCTTCGGCGATGAGGGTGACCTCACCATGCGCTTCTTCATCCTCCGAGAGTGGCACCCAGTCCGGCCGTGGGGTAATTGACATGGTGTGAGCAGGGAGGGATGTGGAGGCTGGGGGCGGCGGGAATATGAGCCAGCACAGTGAGGCGATGACCTTTTTATAGCCATGGGCAGCGGGAAAACGTGGCAGCTGGTGGGAAAAAGGGGCGAAAACGTGACGGGTGGAGGGAAAACATGGCGGGTGAGGCGCGCGGGTAGTTGGCACGTGATGGCACCATTAATTTGCCCGCTTCCCTGTGATATGGGTGTATGTCCGTTTGCGCCATTGACAGAGAGAGAAGAATCAAAGATACGGTCCAAAATGGAAGCACCAGTAGCATAGAAGAAAGGGCCAAGATGCCATGTACAACACTGTCGTGGCAGCTCCAATGCCCTCAACAGAAAGACAAACAAAGAACTAGCCAACTACTCGCTACATGATCACCCATTTACAAACCCAAGTGACCGGACTAGGCATGCCACTCTCCAGTCCACCCCCTCTCCCTTAATTTTGCACAACACCGTCAATGCCGTCATGAAAGGATCTAATCGGTTATCTAGAGGGGTGGGGGTCAATAGGCGACTACAAATTTTAAATTAATTGTCAATCTTAGGGTAATGCTAATAAAGTAGGTTTTCTAGATATACAACTAGTTAAGAACAACCTATATGACTAGCAAGCAAGCAACAAGATATGCTAGGCAACAAACTAAATAGCAAGCCAACAAGCCTACATGGCAAATAAGGTGTGGGAAAGGATTAACCACAAGTGAGTCGAGAAAACGGATTTTATCCCAAAGTTCATACTCTTTGGGGAGTGCTAATTTCCATTGGAGAGGTGCCGAAGCCAAGGCTCTAGAGCGCCACCAAGTGCCTCACCTTATTCTTCCTTCGAGTCATCCTCAACGGATGAGGCTCGAATCACTCGGGGTTCGCTTTGGCACCATAGCTTTCCTTCAGAATCAGGCAAGGGGAAATGGAAGGAGGATACATCAAGCAAATGGAAGAGCAGGTCCTTCATGGAATGGTGGACAGAGCCATAGCTTTCCTTCAGAATCAGGCCAGTCCTACCAAGCTTCGTTATAAGATGTTCAGGTAGCAGTGGTCCAACAATCAGTTTTTTTGGCAAACAACAGTCAGTTATTAGGCTGTGATTATCCCAAGCAGCATGAGAAGATTACCTTTCGTCTTATGGAACAGTGAATGCCACAAATGCAATTTTGTTGTCTATTAGCAAATACTATCTTGACCCTATAGTCTGTCTGTTATGTTTCTGTTGGTTGTGCAAGGAAACTACAGTTAGATTAAGCTGAGATGAATGAACTTTTTTTAGAGAAAAGGCATACACCCGACTTTATAAATAAAGCCACCATGCAGAGTAACAGCAGAACATCCATGATTCTTGGACTGTATGTCTAAGTGAACTTTAATAGCAAGTGTCTTTACACACATGGAAAAGATCTGTCATTGTGTGTTTGCTTCATTTAAATGTTAATTTTAGCTTGTACTGCTGGACTTTTGATTGCTCCCACAGTTGAGTAACTCGTATTATTATGCCTGCAGTCACGCCATTGTTGTTTCAGTATTATAACTTTAGTATCTGGGCTAGTGTTCTGCTAGTGGTCGAATTTAAACATTCATTTACTTCAATGCTTGATCTTGCCACACTTATAGGCTATAACCTACAGTACACAATAATTTATTCCTGCAGTCATACTGACAATCAATTCGTAAGTACTCCCTCTCTAACAAAATGTAGACATTTTTAACAATTGTATGTGAAACAAAAACGTCCTATATTTTGTTATAGAGGTGGAGTAATAGTTTCAATGAATTTTTGTTAAGCCCCTGCTGATTTGAATCTTGATGTGTAATATTGCTGTTGCAGTTTCTCCTTTCTATCATCTTCTATAGTGTACGATGCAGTGCTGGGCTGGACTTCGATTATATTCGAATTAATGTCTTGTGGGCTAACCTGCGGTAGAAAATTTTCCGAGCT